GGCAGCGGTTACATCAAACTGCCAGAGAAAACGAACTCTGGCTGCTTCACAAAGATCTTACAGTTCGACGATCCTCTCCCTCTGAATTCCCGTTGAGAATAGCTTCAAACAGGGGGAATCTATCTCTCCCAAACTCATCACTGCCTCTTTGCAAATGGTGTTCCTGAAAATGAACTGGAAGGACCGAATTAAGATCGCTGATGAACAGCTCGGTCATTTAGAGTGAACTGATGATTGGTATTGTTTTGGGAAAACGCCCGTCAGCTATCGGACATTTTGCAAGAGTTCGGAAGAAAGAGTGCAGAAGTCGAAGTGCGGATAAATCGGTCAGTGACGATGGTACCGCAATCGAAGCCCTTGCCGAAGACCCAAGAAATATTAAGTGGATAAAAAATAGAATATTCGATAAATGCATTTACTGGGGCTGTGAGATCAGCACGATCAGGCTGGAGAGATCTTACGAAGAAAGAAGCGGGCCGGTTTGCACGCATTCCATTCCATCTAGGATGTCATGTTAAGCAACATCAGGAAAAATACCCGCTCCCACGTCTACCTTCATCCAATTCTACCGTTCTGCCGGCAATGTCGTATGGCTGTGAACTGCGATTACCCACTAAAGCCGAGGAGCGTCGCTCTCTACTGCCGAAAGTCATGGAAAGAAGAATGCTGGGAATTTCACGTCGCGATTCCATCCACAAAACGGTGATCAGACAGCGGACAGGAGTGAAGGGCGATGTGATAGAAAGCAGCAAGAAGTCACGGTTAGCCGGCCACGTTGGTCAGCTCTTCAACAGAAGATGGTCAGCGATAGTTGGTGGCTGGTGGTCTGGACCGCTTGGTCGCCCACCACAGTTGTTAAGAGATTACATAGGAAAGCTTGAAGGCCGCGCTTGGAGAGAGAATGCTCCAAACCGCGAGGAATGGCGTGCGGGTGCAGCAGGGGCGATTCGTAGCCAACTGCCGACCGTTCTAACTCATGTAAATGATGTAGCCCGAAAATAAAAGAATATTTTTTACTGCAATATGCGTTCATAAAATTTAAAAAAAGCTGAAAAATGATCAACGAAAATAATTGTCCGTTTTTAAGGGGTTTCGTATAAGAAGCGCTGAAAACTCTCACCCTAAATATGCAGCGCATAATGGCTATATTAAAATTTGTCTTCATGGAGTTCGGTTCCGCTAACGACTCCAAAGTTTGGTAATTTACTTCGATCATTGAATGTATTCTTGAGGTGTCATGAGCCTGCGATATCTGGCAACCGTTTATGAGTCTGTTGAAAGTCGAAGTAATAATTCGTAATTTTTAACCGGTTATTAATTTTCGAAGTTATCAGTTTTTGCTCCTTATATTTCGTTTTTGTGTTGTTTAACATTTCGCATTTTGGTTCTTTCACCGGTCGCAGTTCTCACCATAATTTGCCACATTCTCGTCGCGGAGAGAGCAACAACCAAGGTACTGAATTGAATGACAGTGCGTACAGCTAAGGTGTATATTTCTGAACCGCTCATGTCGCCTTAAAGACCTGTAATACAACCAGATGCGATGAACCAAAGATATACTGATGCACTGAAGTGACAGAATTCATTATGCTTTTAAAATAGTTCTCTCCAGATGAAAGACAATGGTAATTATCAAAAACCAAAGGATTGTGTGCCACCGTTCAGTTCGAATTTGAATCCTCACTAAAAAGAGAGGGAATCTTCCTATCGTACTGACTTCCATCTGAACAGAGAATGAAGATTTTTGGGTTTTGCGAGGAGAAGACATTAAGGACGTTAAAAAATGGGGAAGAGAAGAACATAAGAGCATCTTCTGTGCCATTTAAAGGTCAAGTTCTGGGAATTCGTCATAATGACATTTAAAAAATTTATTATTTATGTCCTTCATTCCTAAGCAAAAGGTGAAGTTTGCTACTGTTATTTTTCGCAGCAGTATCATCAGCGTTTCTATGAACTTCATGCATTTTTTGCATACACTGTCGTTTGGTTAAACAAACTTTACGACTTCGCGCGTGTCGTATTCTATCCCACTTTTCGTTGATTTCTTCATCGGAGTTTTTCAGACTCCCTCAGAAGTAATGCCTGTTTTTTGTCGATCGTTCAGCCTATCCTGCTGTAAACCACAGAAGTGCTGGCCAAGCGACCGGTTGGTAGAGTGCTTTCCTCGTCGCCCCGCAGATCATTCAGTTCGGCTACATCAGATTTGTCGACAAAACTTTTGTTTATCAGCTGTCTTTTGACTGATAATCGATAAGCTG